CCCCCCCCCCCCCCCGGCAACAAAGGTAATTATGTGAGTGGACCAAGGTGTTTACTAACCTTATTGTGGTAATCATTCTGCAATACACACATGTATCAAATCACCACACTGTGTATCCTAAACTTAGATAGGTTACAGGTCAATAATGTCTCAATAAAACTGGGAGACTAAGAATAATAATAATAATAATAATAATAGACCTGACCGTCAGGAAATGTTCAGTGATGTTCACCATGTCCTTCCAGAAGGAAGTAAAGACAGAGACCCCTTTAGAAAGATTTCCATCCAACCAACACGATTACCATGAAGTTGGCCTGTAAAGGGGTATGTTTTAGATACCAGAAAAATGTCCTGACATGTGAGAGTTCATTCCCTTCTGATTTTAGTTACTTAAAACAATTCATTTTGGGTATCACCCTGGGGTTAGTGAATGCCAAGGATCAAATTCTGAGGGGGAAAAAAAAAATGCTTTCAAGTCACTATCTCCCAGCTGGTCTTTTTCTTTTTTATTATTCAAACCCCAATTCCCTGGCAGAGAATACTCTCCCAGTAAGTCTTGGGTTTTCACTTGGGTGAAAAATCCAAACAGTTTCTCTGCTTTAAAAGGAAACATGTCAGAGCTGTTTTGGATAAATAAACTATTCAAACCTACAGACAAGCCCGCGTGCTGACCTGTTACAGTTTTCATTATGAGAACTCACCGTGGCCCAGATTCTGCCACATCTGAAGAACTGTTAGCTTTCTGGACAGAAATGACACCTGAAGCGGTCCCTTTGAATTTCCTGACATTTTAAGAAAGGGCAAAAATCCGATCTGTTCATTCCTGCAAGGAGTCATTAGGCTGACTGTTTCCAGAACTGCTGCACCAATAACCAGCCTTCACCCCCCAATCCAGAGCTGGGCCTCCACTAGCCATGAAGTCCGGGTGAACCCCCACACCTCTCTGAGTCTCCCTTTCTTCATCTGCTTGAGGGGAAGATGAAATCTGTTTGGAAGTTTACTGCAAACAGTCGCTTTAACCCTGAAAAGCTCAGCAGCGTCCCAGGCGGGTTCTGGGCGGAAGTCGGTAGATTTGAAGCAGGGGCCTGATGCGTGGAAAGGCAGCGGCCTAGCTGTGTCATAGCAGACTGGTGGCAGAAAGGACGGCCACACCCAGGCCTTTCTCTGGCTTCTCTGCTCTGGGCTTTTGCACCTGTCAGGGCTGCTTGTGCCTTCTGCTGGTGTGGACCAGACTGCAGCTCAACCCCACTTCCGGGGAAAACCCAAGGGCACTGCAGGAAGGTTCTGCTGCTCTCCAGTGGCGCTCGCGCCAAGGGGTCCACCGGCCATGGCTACCGGAGGCTGTGCTGAGGGGACCGAGGGAAAGGCCTGTGGGTGGGGCAAGGCCAGAACGTGGATTTCCCCAAGCGTCTTCCCGCCCCACCCCCACCCCCTGTGAGGGCAGCACTCACTGTTAACGCCAGCATCACTTCTCTGTAGTTCCGGTTCCCGTTAAGCCGCTTCTTCAGGGCTCGAATGGCGTCCTTTGGCCTGGAGAGAAGGACATATTAAAACCCTCACAAGTTCCACTTGCGGTGCCACCCCACAGACTCACTCCTGTGTGAACTAGCACGTGTACGAGGTTGTCTGTTATACACAAGGGTGTATGAGGCATGTTTATAAACATACAAGGTTGGAAACAAACTAAATCTTCATCAATGTGAAACAAGTTAATTTTTTTTTTTTACTTTATTTTGAGAGAGAAAGTGTGTGCGGGGGAGGGGCAGAGAGAGGAAGAGAGAGACAGAATCCCAAGCAGGCCCTGTGCTGCGAAGCCATGAGATTATGACCTGAGCAGAAGTCAGACACTTGGTCAGGTGAGCCACCCAGGTGCCCCAGAAACAGGTTAATTTAAAAAAAAAAAATTTTTTTTTAAAGATTTGTTTTTTTTTAGTAATCTACACCCAATGTGAGGCTTGAACTCATGACCCTGAGATTGAAAGTCACCTTGGCGCCCTGAAACAGGTTAATTTAAATCATGCTTATCCACACAGTGGAACACTACGTAGCTGCAGTGAAGAATAAAAAGACACCCCAGGTGCCTGGGTGGCTCAGCTGGTTAAGTGTCCAACTCTTGATTTCGGCTCAGGTCATGATTTCACACTTCGTGAAATCATGATTTCACACTTCGTGAAATCGAGCTCCAAGGCCCTCTGCGCTCTCAACACAGAGCCTGCCTGGGATTCTCTCCCTGCCTTCCCTCTCTGCCCCTTCTTCGCTCATGCTCTCTCTCCAAATAAATAAATAAACATGTGAAAAAAAGAATAAAGATGTTATTTATGCATCACTATGGAGCCAACTCAAAGACAGGAGAGTGGAGTCATCTGTAGAAAGTATCCAATGTCTGCTCATCTTGGCATATGAAAGGACAGCATCCATGCATAGCACACGTGACAGCAGACGGAAGAATCTTTGCAAGGAGACCCAAGAAGCTGGTAACTGGTGGCCCCTGAAGAGGGGAACTGGATGACGCAGGGGGTGAGGGTTTTCACTGGGCTGCTTTTCTGCAGCTCTTTTGAATTCCGCCTCCTATGCAAGTATTATTTATTCAGAACAGTACCTAACCCACTGTTGTGGGGGACACTAAAGAGACAACAGACACAGACAACAGAAGAGAGAATGGCCAGGTCCCTGCAGAGGCCTGGCTGTTCCGCTCCTCCCCAATTCCATGAAGGTCCTTTTTGCCTTGAGAAAATTTAAGCATCCTCAAAACCCAAAGAACTGTGTGTTTTTGGGTCATGGAGCTGCAGTGGATTCCCAGAGGCAGGTTCATAAGCTGATTGTTTGGAACCTGGAACGCGTTCCTCCTTACATCATGGTTTAGAGCCGGGAGTGAGGGTCCCCAGCCAGCCCTCTAGAAGCACCTAGTAGGTGAAGCCCATGCGTCTAACAAGTTATTTATCCTAAACCAGGATCCAACAAAGCCGTGGGACTCAGGGCTACCTCTGGCATGAAGCCCCTACCCCCTGCCGCCCATGACTTGAGCTCCGGGGAGCCCCTGGTCCCGCTGCAGGTCAGACCTTTGCTTTCATCAGTGGGCTCCAGCCTTCCCCGGATCAACATGTCAATGTGTCTGGGTCTTTTCAAAAGTTGAAGGTCCGTGAGTCAGGCACCTTCTATTCCTACAGCTCAGAAATATTTATGATCTCTTCACCAAACGAAGAAGTCCTTTCAAATGTGTGTGAGGCAGCTGGGGGAAGGGAGGGTGGGAGGCTCTGCTAATCAGCCCAATTTAGACAGAAATACACAGGAGCAAGACAAGGCTTCTAGAAGAAATTTTAAAACACTATGAGTCACCTATTTCCCATTCCCAACTTAAAACGTGGCTGCCTGCAGGGATTCTCAGCTCCTGAGCCCAAAGGCTGATGGGAGAGCTCTCTGGGGAAGGGGTCCCTGCCAAGTGTGTCTGCGGTATGGCTGCAGTTTCCAAACAGGGATGCTGATTTCTGCAAATATGGGGCTTGACAAGCTCCTGGCTTTGAGGGCTGCTTGTGGACTTGAGCTGGTGAAGGTCAGCGGCTGCTGGCCAGGAGCAAGGATTGATATCCTCTTTCTCAAAGGCTCTGCCAAGCCACAGTTAGCCCTGACCCCCGGCCGCCATCCCTCTCAATCCAGCTTCATCCCTCTCCTCTTGAACTTCCACAGAGCAGAAAAATGGGAACAGCCCCCAAGGGCTGCGATCACTTCTAGCTCACAGAGCATGGCGCACACAGAGCTCTCCCAGTGTGGGGGTGATGGTGGTGGTGGAAAATCAGAGAGTCAGCAGGCTCCTGGGTTAGAGTTAAAATGGAAATTCAGCGGCGGGAAGTACTGCCTCAGAGTGACTGGGTGAGCACAAAAGCAAGTATTTATCTCTATCCCCGGGGGAGAAGCTTCTGAGAGGAGGATCAAAGTCATGTCAGAGGAATTGCAAAGTTTCAAGCAGCAGCGGCAGATTAGACAGCAAGGAGCTGGAAACAGGGAAAAAGGAGAGAAGGAAGAGTCAAGAGCCAAGACGGATCAGGGAAAAGGAGCGGGAGGCGGGGAAGGGCCCCGTGAGATGCCCCACCGCCCAGGCAGAAAGGTCAGGCGCCTCAGGGCAGCGCCCAGGGCCTCAGGATCTGGTCTCTGGACCATCTTCAGCCACCTGTAAGGTCTCCTCCACCCCAGACCCTTAAGAACCCTTCTTTCTAGTCATACTTGAACCATCTCAGCCTCTGGCTCCAGAACTGCTGCTTCTGAGCTGCGTTCTCCTCACTCCCTCCCAGGAGGACAAACTGCCCCTCCTCCACCATCGCACACTCTTCCTCTCCTTCCCATTCTCCCTGCCCCCCTTCTGCTGTCAATCGTGATCTACTGCAGGGGCGGTGGCTACTCCTCCGGCCACCCTCCAGCTCAGAGGCCCGTGCACAAAGATTCCATGAGTGAGGGAAGGTCCTGGGGTGCTCGTGAAAACGACCCAGGGCAGCGGCTCCTCCTCGGAGTCGCACGTCAGAGTCACCTGTGGAGTACTTGTTGCATCCACCTACCTGGGCCCTAACTAACCTTCCGGTATGGGTAAGGCCTGGGAAACAGGGTATAAACATCTCCAGGTAGGTTATCAGCCAGGCACTCCTGGTTAATGACCGATGATGCAAGGTATGGGGGACTGCCACACAAGGCCTGGGGACAGAGGGGATGGATCTTGGCCTTGGACATTAGGGAAAGCCCAAGCAGGGGCCTGTGGGGCAGGTGACCAAGTCTGCCACAGGTGAAGCTCTGAATAAATACGTGCCGGGCTGGAGCTCGGGGGGCTGGGGCCAGGGCAGCCCACACTTACATCCGGCCTCTGCCCTTTTCAGCTATGCTGTGAGACCTTTGGCAAGGGACCGAACCACTGGAACTCAGTTTCCTCAACACTAAAATAGGCTGTCCCTACCTTCTGGGGCTGTTGCGGGACTCAGTGCGGGAGCTAGTGCGATGCAGGGCTTGGCGTGGGGGCCTGGAGTATATTATAGCAAGTGCTGGGAGAATGGCAGACAGGGCAAGGGCGGCAAACCCAGAGAGATCACTACCAAGGACTGGCCAGATAGCACTACAAATGGAGGTGGAGGAAGTCACGGGCAATGCAGGTCTCTAATGTATAGGTCTTTAATGGGTATAAAGAGCAAGCTCGTATGTAGAGCACGGACACGGGTACATCTGTAGCCAAACACTTGACAGATATTTACTCCTTTAATCCTTGTCACCACCCAATGGGACAGGTACTGCTGGTACCCCCATATTGTAAATAAGGACAGAGGGACAAAGAGGTGCACAGCAAGGAGTGGAGGTCCTAGAATTCCAGCCTAGGCGGGCGGCTCCGGGCTCCCGCTACACTCCCCTTCCTACGGGCACGTGGCATACACTGCCCACCAGCCTGGGGGTCAACCTCCCCGCATCTCCCCACCCCCTCACCTAGCCGGTGCCCGACAGCCCCAGGGCCAGCCAGCGCCACCGCTCTGTCTCTCTCAGTTATACGCAGCTTCCCTGGCCACACCATGTTGGGATTCTTTTTTTTTTTTTAATAATTTTTTTTTTATTTATTTTTTATTTCTAGGAGAGAGAGAGAGAGAGACAGTGTGAGCAGGGGAGGGTCAGAGAGAGAGGGTCAGACTGAAACAGGCTCCAGGCTCTGAGCTGGCAGTCAGCACAGAGCCCGACGCGGGGCTTGAACCCACGAACCGTGAGATCATGACCTGAGCGAAAGTCGGACGCCTAACCGACTAAGTCACCCAGGCGCCCCAACACACCATGTTGGGATTCTGTTCCGCAGTCCGCATCAGACCGAGTGCCTTAGGGACTCCATCCATGTACTTGCTTCCTCAACAAGTGCTTGTCAAGGGTCAGTTATGTGTACGTACACCGTGCTAGTGGCTGGGATAAACCGGTGAGCGAAACAGAAGCCTCCCCTCATGGAGTGCACAGTCGGGGGACTGTGGAGGGAGAGTCACTCTAACAAGCCTTGCGTGACGGGGGACACAGGAGGAACACGGGGACCAGAGCCCTGAAGCAGGGAGGAGTTGACAGGGTGCCCGACCATTAGTTGACCTTGTAGAGTTTCTCTCCCAACCCAGAAGAGATCTGACAGTCCCCTCACTGCCGAGGCGAAGACAGAAAATCCCCGGTGTTCGTGAGATGCTCTCATTCAAAACTGCAGGAACAGGACTGTGGGCCACCGTAGGAGGAAGGTGACATGAGAATGGAAGGTGACCCACCTCTCAGACCTGGGAAGGAGGAGGCTCCCCTCTAACACATATTCACATATGCCCACATTTGTGGAGAACTGCCAAGTGGGGTCCAGCAATGGGGGCAGTTCAAGGAACAGAAAGGTCAGTGGGGCTGAAGGATGAGGACAAGGGGAGAGAGCCCCAAATGGGGTGGCAGAGGGACCGGGTTACCACGCAGGGTCCACTAAGGATTTTTACCGGGAGTGAAGGCCCATTTTTTGGAAGACCGTCAGTGGATGAGAGGGAAAGGGGAGAAGGTAGACAGAGCGCCCGGAGGCCACAGCCTGACTCTGGGGATAACACAGGAATAGGGCTCTTCACACCCGACCGGAACTGCCAGGCCAAACCCTCCCTCCCCAAGGTCACCCCCTCCCCACTATTTCCCTGCTCGCCCAGATCGCTTGTGTCCCCAGCACACTGCCCATTCGTGCCGCTCTGATCTACACGCCACACTGCTCTCCCGGCCCCACTGAGGCCCAGCCCAAGCCTGCCCCTGTGTCTGCTGCAAAGGGTACGCGCCTCGGTCACAGCCGGCTCGGCCCCACCGGGTGAGCCCCTCAAGAGCAGCTGAGGCACAGTCGTCTTGGCATCCTGAGGATGGCCATCCCTCCGCCTGTGGGGTCAATAAATGTGGCCAGACAACCAGACAAGGGAGGCCATGAGTGCGAGACATGATTAGAAATGCTTGGCCCCCAGCAAGTCTCTGTGAGTCGGCTGTGTGCCGGGCACCAGGTGGACCACCTCCATTTAGAGGCAGCAATACGCCGTCCTTCACAAAGATTCCAGCACCAGACTCACCTCCAGCACAGGCCGCCAGCCCCGGTTCCATACCCCTCCGTGCCAGGACCCGGCCACACTGCACCTGGCAGGCAGCTCAGATCTGCAGGGCTTTAGCCTCCCTTCTGATCTCTGCTCCTCAGCCTGCTCCCTCCCTATGGCAGCTCAGCTCACAGCACTGGAGGCAGGGTGCCTGTGGCTCAGTCATGATCTCCTGGGTCCTGAATTTGAGGCCCTGCGTTGCATCGGGATCGCTGCTGTCAGCATGGAACCCGTTTAGGATCCTGTCCCTCTCTCTCTCTCTCTCTCTCCAAAAACAAAAACTTAAAACAACAACAACAATGGAATTTTCCTGACTCTTCTCTTGTCTCGGGCCCCCACCCACCTCCCAAACTCCACTGGCTCCACCTTCTAAATATATTTTGAATCTGACCATTTCTCTCTCCCTCCTCTACAGTGATCTAGGACAAAGTCACCCTCATCCCACACCAGGGTTATCGTATTATCCTCCTAACTGGCTTTCCATTTTCTGCCCTCTGTCCTTCTCACGCCCAGCCAGACCATTCCGAACACGGTAGCCGGAGTGACCTCTTTAAAATGAGCGTCACACCACGCCCCTCTCTGCTCAAATCCCCTCCCTCCCTGTCAAGGCCAGAGCCCGTGGTGCCTGCACTATTTGGATGGTGACGGGTCTGGCCTCCCCCCACTCACTCTCTCCACTCTGGCCCCAGGAACCTCTTGTGATTCTTCCAACATTACCACCTGCCCTTTGTCTGGGACTGCTGTGCTTGCTGTCCCCTCTGCCTGGAAGGTTGTCCCCTGGTGTCATCCTCACACCTCATCCCCTCATCTCCTTCAAGTCTTTCTTCAATGTCACCTTCTCAAGTGAGGCCCTCCTTGATTCCTCCACTGAAAATGGCTAACTCCCATCCTGCACCCTCCCCGGCTTCGTTTCTCTCCAGTCTTGTCACCAACTGATCGTGTAATTGACCACGTAAAGTAACATGTAATGGCTTCAAGGGCGTCTGTCCTGCTCCCTGCTGTGCCTGGGCACTCACCCTGGGGCCCAGCAGGAGGCCATCACTCAGTAAGAATCTGTTCAGCCCCGGCTTACACAGGGCAAGGCTGCAAAGGGCCCGTGCCAAGAGGAAGCCAGACTCTGGACTGTCCTCGTCGCACTGGGGAGGGCTGGAGAGGGCGTGGCTACAGTAAATGCCATCTTTTATGGCGTGGACAGAGGGCCAGACACAGACAGAAGGGGAAGAAGTGTGAGCAGGACGCAGCTGGACTGCAGCTGCAAGAGGACAGACAGCAAACGGCCAGAAGGACAGACTTGGCAGCTCAGGAACGTGCAAGGGGCGGCCTGTGGGGCAAGCTCTCCGCCTGCCAGAGACACTCTGTGCTCCCCGCCTCCCTCTGTGGACGCTGTGGGGCCCCTCCCTCCCTCGGGTCTAGCCCCGAAAGCAGGACAGAGACAGCCTCACTCTGGGGGCAGGGGAGGCAGAGCTGGGGAGGAGGGGCTGGAGGAGGTGATGACCACGGGGGCCCAAGTACCCGAGCAACTTCAGTTTCACTTGTGAGACAAAGCAGGTTATTGAGAGGTCATCACTGCTCCAAGGCAAGCACTGCCAATGGGGGGTGGCCTGGGGGGGGGGGGGACGCAGGAGGAAAGATGACGCAGAGGGTCAGTTTATTAAATGCCAAAGCAAACAGACTAAAAACAAAACAAAAAGTAACTCGCCCTTCAGCCCCGACAGACTCTCAGTGACCCCCCAGGAGCTGACAAGCTTCACATGAGGTCGGGGGTGGGGGGTGCGGGGAGGGACACATACCCTTCCTCCGTCTCATTGATAATGTCGCAGATTTCCATGTTCAACGTCCAGTCTTCGCTTTGCAGGGAGCCATCCGTTGCTTTTTCTGTAAAGTCAGAGAGAAAATAGATTTACATTTCTCCTGGAAACAGGGGGCCCTGGCAGGAAACAGAAGGGGCCAGAAGCACCACGTTCTCCGCCCAAGCACGTGGGCTGAGCCGGCAGAGCGGTCAGGGGTGCTGCTGTCAAAAGGGAGCAAACAGAGAAAGACCTGGCCCTGAGTTTTGCACGATGGAAAGTTCTGGAGATTGGCTGCGTGACAATGTGAATGTATGGAATGCTTGAAAAAATGGTGAAGATGGTGATCTTTACGTGTATTTCAACACAATTAACTTTCAAAAATTAAATTTAAAAAATCCACCCCCCCCCCCCCCAAAGCAGGTATTATTCCCTCCCACACTTAAAAGGAAAGAAACAGGCTCAGAAAGGTTGGGTACTTGTCCGGGATCTCATCGTAGGACTGGAGGTACCGGCATCCAGTCTCCAGGTCTGCCTGTCTCCAATGCCTACAAAGTTGCACGATCCTGCCGCGCCTGCTAGTAAAGCTGGACTTTTATTTCTTTTTAAGTTTATTTATTTTGAGAGAGACAAAGACGGAAGAAGTGGGGGACGGGCAGAGAGAAGGAGAGAGAATCCCATGCAGGCTCTTTGCTGCCAGGACTGAGCCCGACGTGGCGCTCGAACCCACGAAACCATGAGACTGTGACCTGAGCTGAAACCAAGAGTCTGATGCTCAACTGAGCCACCCAGGTGCTCCTAGCAAAGCTGGATTTTGGATCTGGAGTCGTAGCTTGGACAGGTTATAAATGCGCCCCAACCTACTTGTACGGTTCATGAGAGAGAAAACATCACCACCATTTTCTTCATACAGCCCACACTTCCACTGATACTCAGATAAGAAAACAAATGACCTCTGTACGTGCTGGGATTGTCCTTGTTTTACTGGATGCAGCTTCGGGGAAGTGGCACTTGTTTTTACATAACATACTAGAGAACTCACACATCCAAACAAAGGCTGTACTTACAAGCAGTGACAATATACTCCAAAAATATAGCTACTGCTCAAGACGTGTGTGCAATAGCTTCAGTCTGCCTGTGAATGCCCCCTTGTTTTAATTTTTGCCAAAAAAGGCACATCCTCAACTTTTCCACCCTCTTTATTCATCAGCCTTGGCACCCGAAGGCCCCTGCCCCGCTGGAACAAGCCCGCCTGCCCATGAACGAGGAGGCTCTGTTTCTCAGGCGAATGCCGGCCAAGCAGCGGACTGGGCAGGGGCTGGGAAGGCTCCGAGATCTGAGGAACCCTTAAAGTCCACGATGGTGCCAGGCTGGCAGGGACGGGGGAGTACCCGGTGTGTGCCCATAAGAAGAAAAGCATGTGCGGGGAGGGAGAGGCAGGGATGAGAACGCGTGTCGGAGACTCGCCGGAGGTGAACAGGCCCCCGAGACACTGCTCCCCTGCCCTGTCCAGCACACGCGTGGGGAAAAGAGCGGCCACGTCAGGAGGGTCACTGGGGGTGGCGGGCGGGGACAGACAACGGCCACGGTGGGAAGGGTAGGGGCAGGCCCCTAGGAAGAATGCCTCGAAGCACCGGTCAGCTTAGCCTAGAGAAGACGACTCAGGGCAGAGGCTACAGGGAGGCGGAGGGGACAGGCGCAAGGCAGCATCTGGAATCCCACAGCAGCGTGTCCCCCTGGCACTGGGCTGCAGCCGGAGGCGGGGGGCCACAGCCAGGTCCCGGAGCAGGCAGGCATGTGGGTGAAATGACTCGTGCCTCCGGCCCTCTGCTCTCCCCACCATGCTCAGCTGTCTCTGAACAGCCCTCCCCTTCAAGGTGTCCACTCCCAGAAGACATGACTCCTCCCGCCAGGACTCACACAGCAGGGAGAGCAGAGCACATCCTCAAGAGGACACCAATCCCAATAAAGCCACTCTGCCTGCAGGCCCAGGCCTTCAACCCTGCCCAGCCAGCCAGGGGAGAGGCCAGCTGGCCAAAGGGCCATTCTGAGATGGTCATCCGTCCCTGTCATAGCACCGGCTGTGGGACAGACGCTCATGAGGAGGAAAATCTGTGACTGCACTTTGGTAGGGCCATAGGAACACTGTCTTGGGAGGCTTAATAGAGGAAATATTAAATCAATGAAACCTCATTTCCAAGTTCGGTTTAGCAGCAGAATCCATTAACCTTATATTCATCCGCTCCCTTCCTCTAATAATACCAGGAAGGGGTTCAAAGGCATGATAACTTATCCTCCGGGTAGCGAATTCTATTCAATTACTGGGATTCTGAGTTCCAAGCTAAAAGATATATACTTGTTTTGATTATAAAGAACCAACCCAAAAAGAATGCTGCTTTCTTTTCATTTTGCTGGAAATGCCACATAAATACAACCGTGAGTATTTGGCTCTGCTGAAACAGATGAGGCAAGTAGGGCTGACAAAGGAGCTCAAATCAGTTCTTATTTTTCTCTGCTCATAAAAGAATTCCCAGCAATGGGAACAAAGTTGTATCCGATTGCCCCTGGAACTGCAGCCACCCAATGCGCACTCCCTCACTCGGTCCGGTCCCCGGGCCAGAGGAAGCAAAATTCAATCTCATTTCTTTTGTCACGTAAATCGTCAAAACCCAAGATAAATCCTGGTGCAACAGCAGAAACACAATGCTCCAGGGAGCAATGGTGCAAGTCATTCCCATCAGCCAGCCCTCGGGACAGATAAAGATCAAAACGCCAGTGACCCTGGCTGCAAAAGCTGACCCTTCAGTCTTCTCTGGTGATATGCTAATGGCCAGAGGCTGAGCTGGGCAAGACAAGGCAAGGCAGGGCTGGGCTGGGCAGAGCAGAACAGGGCTGGGCAGGGCTGAGCAGGGCTGGGCTGGGCAGGGCTGGGCTGGGCAGGGCTGG